CTGTACTTAATGTATACTAACTGGATGCTCTATCAAAAGAAGACGCCGTATTATCAATTCCCAACTTGACTCTCACTGGGCATTAAACATGACAATAGGTCTGATCTGATTTCATCCTCATTTAAAAAATCATCTATTATTTTTCACTTTATGTTTCTGTGTGGGAGCAAACTGTTGAAATCTTTACTTAATGTATACTAAACTGATCTTCTGTATATTAAGAGAATCGAAAATCAATCTTGATGTGAATGGAAGGGGAGAGAGAGTGGGAAAGGGGAAGGTTGCGGATGGGAGGGACGGTATGGGGGGGGGGGAAGCCATTGTAATCCATAAGCTGTACTTTGGAAATTTATATTCATTAAAGAAAAGTTTAAAAAAAAAGAATCTGCTCTTTGTGTATATACTTAACTGAGCATGGGGTGGAATCTGTTGTTTGTTTATATGCTCAACCTTTGCAAGGACTGTGCCTGTGACATGACACACATAGCAAATCCTGTCTCCCTGAATGAGTGGCTGAGGGGTTGAGAACTTGGGTGTATTTGTTGAATTTGTATTTTATCTTCCTGCAGGAAGGAATGTCAACCATAGCGAGTAAGAAGGGCTTAAAAGATATCGCCGTCACCCACGTTGCTCCACACCAGCCAGTGAATAAATATGCGTTCAACTATGATCGTGGATTGGACAATGGTAACATGGGTAGTGAGTGCCTATCCTTTGAAACTTAACATTAAAATACAATGAACAGAAATGAGTAGCTCTGAATTGGATATCCATTTATTTTGAGGGTTTTCTTTGGCTTTTTTTAATATAACCAACTTTTTCCTGAAACAGCTTCAACCCTCTGAAATTCATCCTTACTATTCGTTTTATTTCACTGAAATATTCATTTCATTGCAATATTCATGAGTGGAGAGAGACACGCCTTTATGTAAAATAAAAGTTAAAAAAAAGAAAAAAATATATTTAAAAAATAGCTGCAACATGCGTGTCATGTCTACATTAATGGGGATAATTACAACCATTACTAGCATACATATGTCAATCAAACTAAGTACTTCAACAAACTAAAAATAAGAAGTATATGAACAACCTGAAACCCAAGAAAAAGAGGCAATATATCTAACCGTGTCCAAAGACTCTGCAGTGTTGTGATGTGAAGCCTGAGTTGCTGAAGTAGGAGTCTCCAAGTTCTGTTGTGGAGTAAGATCTCTGCTGAGCCAGAAACTATTAGCACAATTTCCAACGCTATGTGAAGCTACTGAAGTTTGCGTAGTAACAGACTTGGTTAATGTTCCAGTCTGTTGTTTCTCCAGGAGAAAATTTTTAGTTCTGACCTCTGCTAATACTTCATTAACTCTGTGAAGAGTGAAAGGACCAATGGTTAGTATTTCATTCTCCCCTTAATAATTCTTACATGAATTTCATTTTTTAAAAGTAAGAGTCAATGGGCATGCACAATAAACAGTGTTTTAATACTGAAAATGTGTTACAGCACAGTTTCTGTATAATTAAGGTCTTTTAAAGTTAAAAATTTCACAACGTGACTCAAACCCAGTACAAGGGAGAAGGATGCCTGTCAATGCTGTATGACTGATCTGGTGACATCTGCTTCCTCCCAAAAGGCTCTATTCTCAAAATCCTTGCACATGCCATTAGAAATATTTTATTTAAATAACAATTCTGATATAATGGATGTTGATTTCTTTGATGCTAGTAAACATTTTCTAATATATAAATATTTCAAAACATCATGTTTTGCCACTTAAATATATGAAACAGTAACTTCTTTTTTTTTACAGGCAGAGTGGACAGTGAGAGAGAGAGGAGAAAGGTCTTCCTTTTGCTGTTGGTTCACCCTCCAATGGCTGCCGCGGCCGGCGCACTGCAGCCAGCGCACCGTGCTGATCCGATGGCAGGAGCCAGGTACTTATCCTGGTCTCCCATGGGGTGCAGGGCCCAAGTACTCGGGCCATCCTCCACTGCACTCCCGGGCCACAGCAGAGAGCTGGCCTGGAAGAGGGGCAACTGGGACAGAATCCAGCGCCCCGACTGGGATTAGAAGTCGGTGTGCCGGCGCCGCAAGGCGGAGGATTAGCCTAGTGAGCTGCGGCGCCGGCCTGAAACAGTAACTTTTTAAAAAGGATAGAAATCATTGTATTGAAAACTAAGTTAGAGATTTAGAATACCACCAAAGACATTTTCAGGTGCTTACTTATTTTTTTTTTAATTTTTTTGACATGCAGAGTGGACAGTGAGATAGAGACAGAGAGAAAGGTCTTCCTTTGCTGTTGATTCACCCTCCAATGGCCTCCGTGGCCGGCATGCTGCAGCCAGTGCACCGCGCTGATCCGAAAGCAGGAGCCAGGTGCTTCTCCTGGTCTCCCATGTGGATGCAGGGCCCAAGCACTTGGGCCATCCTCCACTGCACTCCCTGGTCACAGCAGAGAGTTGGCCTGGAAGAGGGGCAACCGAGACAGAATCCGGCGCCTCAACCGGGACTAGAACCCAGTGTGCCAGAGCTGCAAGGCGGAGAATTAGCCTAGTGAGCCGCGGCGCCGGCTTCGGGTACTTACTTTCAACAGCCCTGCTTTTTTCACCCACTTTTTGGGAGAAATTAAGCAAATGCTTGATTTTTGGCATTGGGAGATAATTCAGAACAATGACTGTGGGGAATGAGATAGCCAAGTAGGTATTCAGCAACAACTAAAGCAGCTAGGAAGACATGAAAGGTGGGACTTGCTCTTTCTTCCAGACACTATACTTTCCTTCCTCTCTTTCTTAATCTTTCTCAAGGCACCCTTTAGTGGATTACCAATAAAGGTAATATAAAGGATTACAATAAAGGAAAGGTAACTAGACAAGTGCCATATTGTACCAACAGGTGGAGGAGGGGGAAGAAGAGATGCTAGACACTTAAGTTGTAATCCTGAACTTAAGTTAACAGAGTTGTTAACATTTACATAAATTGTTCTGCACTAAAAATTTTCTGGTAATTTCATTTACTAACATTATTTTCCAAAATCACTTTGTCTAGGTAGATTATATCCTTACTAATCTCAGGAACCTGTTTCACTAAGAATTATGCTTTAGTGGCAAATTAGCAAATGTAAGCTATTGTCTGCGATTCTATGTTTTGACTTACTCATTCACTTGCTTTGAAAAAGCTTTTGCAACCTGAATGATCTCATCTTGTTTTCTTCTCAAATCTTCAAATCCCTCTAGAAGGAGTTGCTTATATTCGTCCAATTCTTTAGAAATGGCTTCCTGAGGAGCTTTCATTTTGGAGAGTGTAGATATCCCAACATGGATTCTGTGTTCTTTTTGTATACTTTTTGAAATGTCATCACTCTCCATTAGATACTCTGAACTTTTTTGACATGATGTTTTTTTCTAAAGCAAAATAAAAAGGTAATTTAAAAAATCATTAAAATATATATTAATGTTTTTATTTATTTCTTTTAGTTTTGAATCAGTGATTCTGAGAGAAATTTTAAAGTAAAAAACAAGCCAAAGTTTAAAATATTTATCTCAATACACATTGACTGAAATTTGAATTCTAATGAAAATAATACCATTATTACATTACTACTCATGTAAATTAGTTATCAAAGAATAGAAGCATCGATTAAAAGTGAATAGCAATTAAAGCAACTAAAACTATACTATAATTCCTAAATTACAATTTTCCCCTTGTGGTTAATGAGAAATCACAATTCAGAGGATAAAAGTTTATGATGTGATCTGTATACTTTTGTGAATGAAAATGTTTCAGTCAATGAAACTGACTTGTCATCCTTTGATGTTTTCCACAAAATAAGGGCATATATTAAACAACAGCAAGAGAAAAGCTTGATGGAGTTTCCCTGGTACTGAGTGGAGAAGGAGTCATTTCCCTCAAATAAAACCATTAACTGATACTTAAAAGAAGTACATTTAGAGCATGTCTACAAACCCTTTGACAATTTTTCCATGAAATTTTCTCTCCTGAATGTGAGCTGGACAAAGCAATGTGTATCTAGTGAACAGAATAGGGCACACATGCTGAGTGACTTTTGCTAGGCTGTAAAATGTGATGCTGCTCTGCTTCCACCTGAATCTCTCAAGCAAACTCGGACTTAGAAATTAGCCACCCAAAGACGAGAAAGTGAAACAACATATTGATATTCCAACTGATGTCCCAGGTAAGGTCCAAAAAAAGCAACATCAAACAAAGCTGGCATTGTGTACAGTATATTGAGCTGCTGGCTGTGATGCTGGAATTCCATACTGGAGCACTGGTTCAACTCCTTGGTGTTCTGCTTCTGGTTCAGCTCCCTACAAATGTGCCTGAGAGGGCAACACAAGGTGGTGCCCCAGATACACTAGATGGTGACACTAGATACAGGGAGTTGTAACTTTAGGAAATTGAAACAAAGACTAAAATAGGTTAAATGCCTTCAGACCAAAGGGAGGTGGAAGCTGAAAGGGCCTACAAAAGAGGAAGAATGAAAACCAAAAGGACATCAAAGAGACTGTGTGGAAACTTGAGGTTTTGAAGGAACTGTCAAGAAAGGATACCAAGACCTGGAAGACAAGGGCCCCATTCTTCAGGAATCTGAAGGTAAAACTGATGTGAGAGATAAACTAAAGAAAGACTACCAAATTTAAAGGAGCTATGACTTATTGGGTTCAAGTATCTAAATCCATATATGTGAATTACAGCATCTCCACATAACAAATCACCATGCAATTGTAAAAAAAAAAAAAGTAAAATAAAAGGTGATTTCTGGAATAAAATCAAATCCAGAGTGCTGCTAGGCAAACAGGATCCAGAGATGAAGCAAAGATGATGACTGTACAACGGACAATAAAACTTCAGAAAAACTTTAGGTGGTGCCTCAAATCACCGTATGGGTCTTAGGAGTTAAAGAACATTCACGATACTGTCCTATTCTGGCTCTTCTGGAAGCCCAAGGTGAAGAGATTATGTCAAAAAGATTCATGGGAGTGGGCATCAGAGTGCTTTTGGTTTTTACTTGCCTATTGCTCCTGAGTCTACCATTCTGTCAGTGTAGGCACTGGAAGGAAGCAGGGATGGCTCAAGTAATTGGGTTCCTATAAATCATGTGGGACCCCTGGCTTGAGTTCCCAGCTCTCAGCTTTAGCCTCACATGAGATCTGGTTATTTTAGGAGTAAACCAGCAAATAGGAATGTTTTGTGTGCTCTTTATCTTGCTCTCACACACTCTCTCTCCCCTAACTTCTTCTTTGTCTTAGGTAAAATCAAATTTTCAAAAGGTAGTATTTCTGAATATTTAGTGTCTAGTAGGATGAACTCCAATAAAATCACAGGAAGCTCCATTTTTCCAGAGGGTTGTATTAGAAAATCCAGTAGTTTCTAGTTTGCAATAAAAATAGAGAGAGGGAAGAATTAAAGGAGTCCTCTAACCTTGGAAGTTTGTTTTCTCTTTTTTTTGACAGGCAGAGTGGACAGTGAGAAGAGAGAGACAGAAAGAAAGGTCTTCCTTTACCGTTGGTTCACCCTCCAATGGCCGCCGCGGCTGGCGCACTGTGGCCGGCGCACCATGCTGATCCGAAGGCAGGAGCCAGGCGCTTCTCCTGGTCTCCCCTGGGGTGCAGGGCCCAAGCACTTGGGCCATCCTCCACTGCACTCCTGGGCCACAGCAGAGAGCTGGCCTGGAAGAGGTCATACATTTTTATGTATCAAATATAATATGCATATATGTGCATATACATGCAATAGGTACACAAATATATTTAAAACAGTTAAATGCACACAGTATATACATGTGGAGGGATACACAAAGAAAATTAGCACATCTCATGAAATATTTTATAGCTAAAAATATAAATTTTAATTTTATGAAAGAATGATGCTGATATATTTTAAATATTTGAATATTTGGATGTTTAAGATCGTTACCAAAAATGGAAATATTATCAAAGACAGCAAATATATCTCCAGAAAAACAAGCTGAAGATACATTAAGAAGAATTCAGTTGACATTATGTACCAGGGCATTGTTATTACTGTTTATGAAATCATGAAACAGAAAATGTTATATTCTGGGATTCAAAAAATATAAAAGGTTCCGGATGGTTCTGTGAGTTTCAGAAGTGGCAAGGTACAGTTCAATTATGAAAACATAAGAAAATGTGTATTTAGGCTTTAATATAGCCAAACTATAGATAAGTTAATTAAAGAATAATTGATATAATCTGAAATACTAAAATCTTACTGAGTTATCTTGTCTCCTAAATCACCATTTTTCTTCATCTCTTCATCCAGTTTGTCCTGCAGAGCTTGATTTAACTCAGCAAGCAGCATTATGTGTTGCTGTTCATCTTTAAACTTAAGAAAATGTGCAAATTATTTTTTAAAATGTAGGCTTCTTTCTAAAAGTATTATTCCCCGTGAGTTAATGAGTAATATTCTATAAAATCTGATGATAATCAGATTTCAAAAATAATGACTTCCCAAAAAACAGTTCAAGTTGACTTACACTTTCAATACTATCTTTTGTGGATTTCAAATTATCAAAATTCATTCATTAAAGATAGAGGTACAGTGGCTATGATGCTACTAGAGATTTCTGCAACCCAAATCAGAGTGTCTGCATGGAGTCTGGCCAACTTGGATTCTAATCTAGATTCCTGCTAATGAACACTCAGTGAAACAGCAAATGATGTCTCAAGTGCTTGGATCCTGCACCTACATGGTAGAACTGGATTAAATTCTGGGATCCCAGCTCTAGGCTACTGTATGTATTTTAGTAGTGGACCCATAAATCAAAGATCTCTTTCTCACCCCCTCTCTCATTTTCACCTTGTCCCTCTCTTTCTTTCTAGTAAAAATGAAAAACAAATACAGAGTTTAAAGAACCAAATACTGTTAATGAATTATTTTTAACAGCAATTTTTAAATTTTTTTTTTTTTACAGGCAGAGTGGACAGTGAGAGAGAGACAGAGAAAGGTCTTCCTTTTGCCGTTGGTTCACCCTCCAATGGCCACCGCGGCCGGCACACTGCAGCCAGCACACTGCGCTGATCCTATGGCAGGAGCCAAGTACTTATCCTGGTCTCCCATGGGGTGCAGGGCCCAAGTACTCGGGCCATCCTCCACTGCACTCCCTAGCCACAGCAGAGAGCTGGCCTGGAAGAGGGGCAACCGGGACAGAATGCAGCGTCCCGACCGGGACTAGAACCCAGTGTGCCAGTGCCGCAAGGTGGAGGATTAGCCTAGTGAGCCATGGCGCTGGCCGCAATTTTTTTAATTTTAAAATTTTTTAAAGATTATTTTATTTATTTATTTGAGAGGTAGAGTTACAGACAGTGAGAGGGAGAGACAAGAGAGAAAGCCCTTCCTTCCATTGGTTCACTACCCAGAAGACCACAATGACCAGAGCTGTGCCAATCCAAAGCCAGGAGCCAGGTGCTTCTTCCTGGTCTCCCAAGTGCATGCAGAGGCAGAAGCACGTGGGCCATCTTCTACTGCTTTCTCAGGCTATCGCAGTGAGCTGGATTGGAAGAGGGGCAGCCAGGACTAGAACCGGCACCCATATGGGATGCCAGTGCCACAGACAGAGGATTAATTACTGTGCCATGTAGCTGGCCCGTAAACAGCTATTTTTGAAAGAGTGGTTATATTTTACATTCTAAAGATTCCCTAGAAACTTTTGTCCAAAAACTTGAATATTCAAGATATTCCAGGTTTAATTAAATCATATGCTACTAATAGGATTTTTGGAAAATTTCACATTTGATTCTTACTACATATTTCATCTTCACCTGGTTTCAGGATGAGATAAACAAGATCATGTCTTAACATTGTTTAGAAGTTTCATTTTTTTCCTTTGACATTCATGACTTAACTTTAAACAAAGTTTACCTTTTCTATAAAATACAAACATTTACCATGTTTGATTCTTGTGTTTTTTTTCTGTACTGTCCTATGTGAATGCATGGCCTGATACACAGATAATTGTGGGGTCACATAGATGACTGTGCAACTCCCTGGCCCTAAATATGTTTTCCAAGGGTACAATTCAATGCAATATTTTTGAGACATATCCAGGATGCTTTGTTTAGTGCTTCCACTGCTTTCATCCACAGCAGCAATAGCAATTAGTGATTAGACCTTCCTCTTGGCTCCTATAAGCCCACTTTACTTTTAAATGCAGTGACTGCTGGATTCTACTCAACCACTCTTCGTATTCCATTTCTAAGTCTGTCTCAAAAGTTCCTTAAATCTCAATGCTTCACCTGAAGTTGCTTAATCTATACTCCTAGGCCTCACCTCATAGCTCAGGTCATTTCTTACTTCTCTTTCATTTCTCACAGGTTAAATCTTCAAGTATACCCACATAAACCGTTACCTGATGGGGATACCTTTGCAGACAACTAGTCTAGTACATTTGCTAATGATTCTAAAGGGTGTGTCTTTGATCCTAGTGTTGTTTTCTAATATTGATACTAGATGTGTTAGGATGTTGACCAGCGTACTTCATGTTGAAATTCTTTTCTAATGCAAGACTTTTCACAGGCATCAAATTATGGGTCACTTCCATTTTCGTTGGAATCCCCTCTGCCATAGATACAACTTTAGCAGTCTGTTGAGGTTCTTTTCAGACACACACCCAGCTATATCACTTGGAGGCCTGAGTCAAATATCTTTATTTCCCAATCCAAAATCTTCACTTCCAAATTGTGTCCATAAAATATATCAACCCAATTACTCTCTGGTAGATGAGAACCTCCATTCGTGAGATGAGAACCTTCTGGAAAATTAGTTGCTATTGAGTTGGTCACATGCCATCGATTATTATACTTTTGACAGAGAGGGTACCCTTGAAAGTGACTAATAATTCTATGCCACATTCCTAAGTCATTTCTACAAGAATTTACAGAAAATACCTTAATAATTATGAACAAGCTTAATAGCCATTGCACACTGATATGAATTGAATAAAGTAAGCCTGTGTAAAGGCTGATGATCACAGTAGGGGAAAAGCTTGTTTTTATACATGCAGTTGTGGTAGCACTATGTCACTCTGCAAAGCCATGTCATAGTAGTCATTTTTTAAATTTTTAATTTTTTAAAATTTTTTTGACAGGCATAGTGGACAATGAGAGAGAGAGACAGAGAGAAAGGTCCTCCCCCTGCCTTTGGTTCACCCTCCAATTGCCATCGCAGCCGGTTGCTTCGGCTGGCGCACCACGCTGATCCGAAGGCAGGAGCCAGGTGCTTTCTCCTGGTCTCCCATGCGGGTGCAGGGCCCAAGCACCTGGGCCATCCTCCACTGTAATCCCGGGCCACAGCAGAGAGCTGGCCTGGAAGGACAACCGGGACAGAATCCGGCACCCCGACTGGGACTAGAATCTGGTGTGTCTGCGCCACAGGCAGAGGATTAGCCTATTGAGCCGGCCATTTTTATGTAGTCATTTTTATCTTTTACAACTATTTCCTTTTAAAAATCCAGAGGAAGTATATTCCATGGTGAAAATAAAGCTCCCACAAGAATTTCATATCCATTCTTGATTAGGAATAAAATTCATAGTATCAAAATAACTCATCCTCAAGTACTCACTGAAGAGTTAGGATTATAGTTGAAATTCAGAATCATACATGTATCACTATTCAACATTTATGGCAGTGTAAAAGACATTATGGATTATAGCGGCTTTTTCCCCCCATAATCACCCTTCCACCCGCAACCATCCCATCTCCCGTTCCCTCTCCCATCCCTGTGGTGGCTTTTCTCATTATACTATGACTCTAGATTAAGTGGACTGTCTGCTTTTGGTGGATCTTTGGAGGCTTGTGATGGGTGTGGCCAGAGAGCTCTGTTCAGTTCTTAAGGGTTAAGCCAGGTTTGGTGTGGTAAATCTCTCTCTCTCTCTCTCTCTCTCTCTCTCTCTCTCTTCAGAAGTGAAGTAATTACTCACAGCTGAGCTATGCTTGAAGGCAATCAGTGAGCACTAGCCCCTGTGGGTATAATATTCATGTGCTCTGTCCCAAGGACCACACAAAGGATCTGTGCAGTTCTCAGTGTAACCTCAGATTCCCTTGCAATCTCCCACCAGGTTGCCAAGGTTACCAAGTTTGTGGCTTCTCCCACTGAGTACTCACGTCTCAGGCCCTCTGTTTTCTCACACACCCTCAGTTTTTTTTTTTTTCACAGTGCCAGTTCATAAGCTCCACACATTCACTAGGTCTTAACTTGCTGTTATTTCTCCCCACCAGAGTCAGGTTTTTTGCCTGGCTGAGGGCGAGCGCAGCCCTGAGGTGGCACAGTTTTACGTATATCCAAAATGGTGCCTGCTCTTTGACTTGCTCGCCTTTGTAAGGTGAGTGGAGAGAAAGAATCGTGTCCATACCAGTTCCTTTTATTTTTTTTTCTCTCCTCTAGTTAGCCTGGTGAACTTTCCCCCATGGGGCTTCAAGCCTCGTTCCCTCTAGGCTCTTCCTGCTACTTTTCTGCCAGTGTCTCTGGCTGAGATTTCGCCTCACCTCCCTTTCCAGCGCTGTTGCCTAGACTCAGTGGCTGGGGTCCCGAGCCGTGGGTGCCCGTGCCTTCCACATAGGTCCACCGTGTCCTACTACTTCCAGAAGAGTTTCCTCTGCAGTTTTTTCCCTAACTCTTCCCTGAAACTACAGTATCTCCACTTGTATTAAACTATCTTTTCCCAGACTATCAGTGTGCTCCCTCCCTATTCCACCATCTTGGATGAAGCCCAAGAAGGGCTATTGACACAATAAATTTCAATGTACTTGTCTCCTGAGGTCACTTAATTCCTTCTTCAATTTCTGGATTTCAGTTTCTGAGTTCATACAACATCTTCTTACATTATCCGGTGAAACCTAGGATACAAATTTTTTTTTTAACATTTTTTTATTTAAAAGACTTACAGACTTTAAAAGACTTATTTAAAAGACTTACAGAGATAGACAGACAGCTCTTCTATCTCCTGATACACTCCCCAAATAAACACAATGGCCAGGGCTGGGCTAGGCTGAAGCCAGGAGCTTCTTCTGGGTCTCCTATGTGGGTACAGGGTCCCAAGCAATTGGGCCAACCCCTGCTACTTTCCCAGGTACATAAGCAGGGGGCTGGATCAGAAGTGCAGCAGCTGGAGCTCAAATCAGAGTCCTTCCATGTGGGATACCAGCAGTGCACATGGCAGCTTAACCCACTATGCCACAATGCAGGCTCTGTTTCTTTGTTTTTTTTTTGTGGATTTTGTTTTTTATTTTTTAATTTTTTTTGCATATCAGTCAGCTAATATATCAGGTTACTATTCCCTGGTAAGATATTTCTGTTACTATTTCCTAAGTCACTTCATTAAGTCATTTTACCAATATAAATTCTAAGTTATATACAAATGGTCCCAGATTTGTGATGCTCCCCCTCAACCACATAATCACAAGGGAAAATGACCAACACTGTAGGGTACTGTGCTAAGCTAGGACAATGGGTAGGTTGGGTATATAACAGTATTTTTGTCTTCACTATATTTTCACCTTAACAATGCATTTATCAGGACACAATTCTGCCAAATGCCAAGGAACATCTGTGCTTTGAAAAATGTCACCACATCATCACTCTCCATCTTTCCTCATGCATACACAGGCCTGTTTATTACTGAATTCAACACTGAGGGTGTTCTCTTCTTGCCTAATCAGTATTATGCTTCTTACCAGATTCAGCCCACTATCCATGTCTCCTTTCATGAAGATGCAACATATAACAACCCAGTCAAGTATCAAAAACATTTAGAGGCCTGTGCTGTGGCATAGACGGTAAAGTCACCAACTGCAGTGCTGGCATCCAATATGGGCACCCATTCAGGTCCCGGCTGCTCCACTTCCAGTCCAGCTCTCTGCTGTGCCCTGGGAAAGCAGTGGAGTTGGCCCAAGTCCTTGGGCCCCTGCATCCATTTGGGAGACCTAGAAGAAGCTCCTGGTTCCTGGATTTCAATTGGCACAGTTCTGGCCATTGCGGCCCTTTGGGGAGTGAACCAGCAGATGGAAGACCTCTCTCTCTCTCTCTCTCTCTCTCTCTCTCTGCCTGTGCTTCTCTCTCTGTGTAGCTCTGACTTTCAAATAAGTACATACATCTTAAAAAAAACATTAAGTATGTGACTAGAACTCGTGTAAATTCTACAATGCTGAATAATTTCCCTCTTACAATAGAGGAGCAAATTAGTATCAGAGTTCTCACATTTACTGGTTTCTTAAGTGCTTCCAATAGATTGCCCTCTCAGAATAGGAATGGAATTCCTATGACTTTCAAGGCTGTAGCAAAGGTGGCCTGCACCTTCTTTCTTGACCTCAGCTCCTACATTTCTCTCCCCTACTCAAGGCACAACTGCATTCTCTGCTATTCACAATTCCTGCAGGCTCTCAGGAGCCTGAAAATGCAGATCCAATGCAAAATTAATAGATAATAGGCAGCTACAATTACCTTTGTAATGTACAATGCCACACCCAAATGACAGTTATTGATGCTTGTGATGAAAACTTATGCATATCATTTGTAAAAGGTCCAAAGCAAATAAAGTAAATCTCAATAAGAAAATTAAATATAGTTCTGGTAATATTCACCCTATTTGTCCCAAATCATGAAATGTTTGTTAAAGAACTTAGAGATCATAAAAATAATAAACTGAGGGTGACATACTTTCAGGTTTAAATCAGTTCTACCAACCAACATATATTAAAAACTGCTGAGCAAAGGTGTAGGAGGTGTAGCATTTATACCATCATTCATCTCGGAAATCTGGAATGTAATGTCAAAACATCCTACTTAATTGATGGCTAATCTCAAAATATTCATATTATTTAGGTTTGAATATTCATGGAAAGCCAAGACATTGTGGCAAAAAATGACCTAAATGAAAGATCTCTGTGAGAGAGATCTCGGTGGAAAGAAGGGACCATTAAAGAAGGAGGTACCTTTCTCTGAAGGGAGGGGAGAACTTCCACTTTGATTATGGCCTTGTCTAAATAATGTCAGAGTTTGTGGACTCAAGAGGCTTCCATAGCCTTGGCAGCTCATGATGAGAGCCTCAGGTGATCACTGATGTCATAAATAAGGAGTGTCAATTGTTAAATCAAGAACAGGAGTCACTGTACACTTATTCCCCTTGTAGGATCTGTCTTTAATGTGTTATACTATGAGAATTAATGGTAAAAATATTCTTCAGACAGTTCTTTATACTTTGTGCATCTGTGTGGGTGACTGTTGAAAGTTTTACTTAGTATACACTAAGTTGATCTTCTGTATATAAAGATAAATAAAAATGAATCTTAATGAAGAATAGGATGGGAGAGGGAGTGGAATAGGAGATGGGATGGTTTGTGGATGGGAGGGTGGTTATGGGGGGAAAACTGCTATAATCCAGATTTGGCCAGCATAAACATTTTGCTTTTCTTTTCTACTGCAAAACTTTCAGATTATAGTCTGTCTCTGCTTTCTTTTGAGTACTTCTCTCTTGCATACAGCTATGATCGTAAGGCAGTCTTCTGAAGTTCTGTCAGATATACTTTCAACTATATCAATTGGAGTCATGCAGAGCTATGAATAGTTCCCAATTCATACTTTTTACTACAAAATGGTGTCCATGAAATAATATCCTAACTCTCTGGTAGAAAATACATGAAATGAACATTCTGGAAAACTTTAGGGGTCACTGATTAAGTGGGTAAGAAACTTATTAAACAGTTGATTTCTGGAATAAATTTCAAAATGATAATATTTCTTTTTTTCTATGATAAATTACTAATTTTTCCAAGAATTTAGAAGAAATTTTTCATTATTTGAACAAACTCAACTTATTGGGTACCGCATCTAACTTTGAATGTTGAACTCCTTAACATATTTTTGTATGGTAATAAAGTAAAGAGACATCTCTTGGCATTCTTATCTACAAAAGACCCATTATCAACATACTGTCATGTCATCTATTTTGAACTAATTTTTATAGATGTAGAAAAAAATAATCTTTCAGTGTTTCCTAATTTGTGAACATGAACAGTCAATATAAATGTTCTTAATCTCCAGATAACAGGATCTATATAATTTAACTGCCATCTATTCATTGTCACTTAAGGAAACTAATTAGTAAAATCAGTGACCTCATTGCTCAGTTATCAGTGTTTGATCGCAATCTTGTGATCACAATCTGTATGACATAAAGACATGAATGATAACCCTGTTTCTCTTGTACATAGTTATACAGTATTCATTATCCACCTATAAATTGGAATCCATGGATCATATTTCAATATTTTGTGAAACTGAACTAAGTTTTTATACAGATTGATGAACACAGACTACCAGAGAAAAGTCTGTTTCTGAACCAGCAGTGCTTAGAATGCTCTGTCACTATGTAAGACAGTGCTGGAGTAGTCATTTCTCAATATGTCCTTTTAGAAATACAAAGAGTTGAAGTAACACATTCCTTGTGGTGCAAAAGGATGTATAATGATCTAGTATCCATTCTGGAAAAAGAATGTAACTTACACCCTAGAAAGTAATTCATTCTCATAATCTCACTGCAGAGCTTAGATTTAAAAAGAAGATATTCATGGCCTGGCACTGTGGGGTAGCAGGTAAAGCCATTGCCTGCAGTACTGGCATCCCATATGAGTGCCAGTTTGAGACCCGGCTGCTCCACTTCCAATCCAGCTCTCTGTTATGGCCTGGCAAAGCAGTACAAGACGGCCCAAGTCCTTGGGCCCCTGCATCCACATGGGAGACCCAGAAGAAACTCCGGGCTCCTGGCATCAGATTGGCACAGCTCTGGCCATTGCAGCCAGATGGGGAGTAAACCAGAGGGTGGAAGACTTCTCTCTCTCTCTCTCTCACTCTCTCTCTCTCTGCCTCTCCTCTCTCTGTGTAACTCTGACTTTCAAATAAATAAATCTTTAAAAAAAGGAGGTATTCACAATTATAGATGACATAATTATTCAACATTATTGCATTTTAAAAGTACTCTAAATATTAGCAGGGGCTCCAAGTAACAGCTGTACACCCATGGCCATAGCAAAATTAGTCAAGGTAGACCAAAGATACATAATGCAAATACACATCAACTGATAAAAGAATACAAAAGATATACTAAATATAAAATGTTATTTTCAATGTATCACAATGTTTAATTAAAAACTTACTACCAAAATAATTTACCTTTTATAAAGCTAAGTGGAATTGAACTGGTAGTAGCAAGTAGTGTTTGCATAAATACATTAAATATACTTATCAATGAGAATATTCATATTGGCTAAAATATTTCTACAACCTCCTAACAGAGAAATAAAAACTCCTTTACAGTATGGTGAGAAGAGACTGACTTACTGAACTTGGTCTTATCAGGTACTTCTGTTGCTCTTCAATTCTGTTTGCCTGAACTTTGATGGTATCTTTTAATAGTGAATTTTCATATTTAAGCCTAAAATGAATATCGAAAAATGTTCTTACACATCAATCTAAATATACACATTAATTTTTGAACAAACATTTGAAGGTGTAATTATGTAAATTCTTAAAAATTTAAAAAGTAAACTATTTGATGACTCTATTATGTTTTCTTGTGGGTTAGTATGGATACGGTGTAACGAACAATTACAGAATATGCATAATTCAAAGTAGCTTAAAAAGAACATTTTTGCCAGGCTTCACATACATATATTTATAATGATAAATACATGGTCTATTTCTCATTTTCTTTGATTTCACTGCTTTATAAATGAACTCCAGTTATTTTGCAAGATACCTTGCATTATAGTGTTCAAGGTGATCTTGTAACTTCCTTGCATTTTGTACCTCTTCTTGGTGTAGTGCTGCTGCTTCCTGGAACTATAACAATAAATTTTTGAAACGTCTTACAAGTAGCTTGTAGAAATCTGATAATCACCTAGTTTTTACTTATTTATTTGAAAGGCAGAGTTACAAAGAGAGTGTGAAAGACAAAGGGAGATCTTAAATCTGCTAGTTCACTGCCAAAATGGCCCTCAAAGGATGGGTCTGGGCCAAGCCAAAGACAGGAAGCAGGAACTTCACCTGGGTCTCCCACATAGGCAGCAGGGGCCCAAGCTCTTGACTTGAACCAGTGCCCACATGAGATACCTGCATTGCAGATGGAAACTTAACCTACTACACCACAAAACCAGCCTACATTAACTTGTTTTGCATCTAAAATTTACAGTAATGCCTGTACATTTGCATAGTGCTCATGTGTACATTTATGCTGTAACTGCAGTGTTTACTTGTTGCAACAAACTTCACCTGACCCAATATCTACAATAATACAATGGTCCAGAATCAGTATCATTGATTTCATATTCAAATAAATTTTGACATTTCAGTCAGGTGGCATGACAATGAAAATGGTGTCTTATACAAGTTGTATTCAATTCCTGCAGACACAGTAGAAGGTGGCATCCAACTGGGGAGATGGAGGCAAGAATACACCCCAGGCCCTGAATAACACTTTCACCATTTCCATGAGCCAACAATATTTTTTCCACTTAACAGTTTGTAGACAAGTTTCTCTGTGTACTATTTAATGGGGGAAGGGTCATTCATGGGGGGCCAGTATTGTGGCATAGTATGTTAGGCCTCCGCTTGCAGCACCAGCACCCATAAGGGGTGCTGGTGCGCGACCCATAATCTGTATCTTAGAACACTTGTATATTAAATTAGCTCTAGACTTCCTACTGACATGTCAAATATCATACGTACTTTTCTGTTGATTTCACCTAACTCGTCCATTATATCCTTTGTCTTATTGTTCAACTTATAGTAAAAACACGCCATATCTTCCAGGGATGCTTCTGATTTAGACTGTCTTTGCTGAAGCTCATCATGTTGCTGCTGCAGGTGTTTCACATCTACCTGATAATATATGTCTGTTAGTATTTTATAATTCACCTCACTGTCAAATAAGGTTTATATTTCACTCAAAGGTATACACAACTGGTAGAGTTTTTGTGATGATTTTGATTTATGAGTTGTCATCTTTATGATGGTGTGTAAGTAATAAATATCCCATTGGACACGTATGAGCTAGCAATATGCCATGCTATATCTCTCAGGATGCTAGCCAGCAGTAGTGATTTGCAGCTCCCAATCAGCCACACAATCGCAAGGGCCAATGACCAGCACTCTAAGTGTTAACAACCTGCTAAGCTAGAATTTTGAGGAAGTTATGTGTATTATATATTTTTGACTTATTTTCAATTTAACAGGTATCACCCTATCAAATGCCAATGAGCATTTGTAGTTTCATAATATAACCACCTACAGCAAATCATATTAATATTCATATTCTCTATGTATATACATTTATGATTACTGAACTCAGGTAACACAGAAACAGTTATTTTCCTGCCCAATCAGTATTATTTGATTCATCCAACAGCTTCAAGTCACTGTTTCTCCCCGATACATTTGTAACATTTAACCTATTGAAGTATCATAGAGCAATGAGTATGTGGCTGGAATTAGACTTCATTTGAATCTACAGTGTTGAACTATTTTCCTCTCTTTAGTAACTTTGGAGTTACTCACACATTGTCAATTCTTTGCTCAAATCCTTCCAATAGATTCTTATTTCAAAACAAGAATGAAATTGCAATGGCATTTAAGGCCCCAGGCAAACTTGGCCTCCACCTGTATCCTTGTTTTATCTCCTACAACCCTCTCCTCTACTTATACCCTGAGATTCATGAATCCTGCAGGTTTTCCTATCAAAATGGGGATCCAATGCCAAATTAATGAACCATAGAAATCTATAATATTTTTGAACTGGAAAATTATATCCAAATAATACTATTGAGCCTTGAAATGAAAAGTAATAAACAAATTATCTGTAAAAAGTGGTCAAAGTCAATCAAAAAAATCTTGGAGAAACTGCAAATAAATAAAATTTTCATAAAATCACTCCCAATTTTTCACAATCATAATTTCTTACACTTCACAAGTATCACAGAGCAATCAGTATGTTGGTACACTAGAACTTGTGTACTTCTACAGTGTTCAATGACGTGTAGATTGTAAGCAAGTTACTTGTAAAAAGTGGTTAAAATAATTCATAATTTAATAAAATGGATGGACCATTATAAAATTGTTGAGAGGTTATAAGAACACATCAGTTGACAGTGAAATGCCTTTCAGTTGAAGACAAAATGGATATGAATAACAAATTATACCAACTAAAATAGATAAAAAAAATTACAAGAGAAAGGTATTATGTGGTGCAGCATCTATGCTTTCGCTCATCTGGAAATCTTCTATGAACTGTCAAGGCAACCTGCATAATTCAAAGTTATTTCAAAATACTCCTTTCAGGTCTGAGCATTGCTGTTGGATTCATCATGGTCTTAAATATGGCAAGATAAAGACATTAAAATTATTATTTTAGGAGTATTGAATTCATTATTAATATTAGCCTATATGTGTAATTAATAATTTGAAAGCATCAAGGGGACATAGTGTCTTAAGTAAAGTATCTCTCAGGTCCAAATTTATTTCCTGAGGCAAGTTTATTTTTAAGCAGATAAGCAAATGCATTTCTAACGTACATAAATTTATATTTACTGCATTTCAATATTTATCCATAATCACGTATGACTGAATTTTCTTTCCTGGAGTTTAAAATTATTTCATTTCCCTGATACTTCTATTTTGTCTTCACAGATTCTATAGTCACTTCACTTTTAAATGCAACAATCTTTGAATTTACTCATCTATTCCCTAGAATTTTCTCAGTTTGTTAACTCCCAATTCTTAGACTGCCTATCTATATTCTGAGCCCTGTCCTCTTACTGTTCTCTTAACTGTTTGCTTTAGTCTCCTTCCTTCCTTCCTTCCTTCCTTTCTTTCTCTCTCTCTCTCTCTCTCTCTCTCTCTCTCTCTTTCTTTCTTTCAGACAGAGTTAGACAGTGAGAGAGAGACAGAGACAGAACGGTCTTCCTTCCATTGGTTCACCCCCCAAATGGCCACCATGGCCGGTGCGCAGCGCCGCAGCCAGGAGCCAGGCACTTCCTCCCGGTCTCCCATGTGGGTGCAGGGCCCAAGCACTTGGGCCATCCTCCACTACCCTCCTGGGCCACAGCAGAGAGCTGGACTGGAAGAGGAGCAACCAGGACAGAACTGGCGCCCCAACCGGGACTAGAACCCAGAGTACCGGCACCACAGGCGGAGGATTAGCCTAGTGAGCTGCAGCGCCGGCCTTTAGTCTCCTCTTTCTGTCGTACTTTGCAGAAATCATATCCTTATCCACATGTCCATAAAGACTTATTTCTGTGGATTACTTTGGAGACAGTTAAGCCTCTACATTTTATCCTGATTCTTATGGATGTGTCTCTGAGAGTTGTGTTGCTTTCTAATCTTGGGGACACCCTCACTGTTAGGAACTTGACCACCACAAATCATCTCACTTTTCTTTTCCATTACAAATCTTTCACAAGCCAGATAATGGATTCTCTCTGCTTTCTTTTGAATATTTCCCTCTTCCATAGAGATATGATCCTAGAGAACACTTCTGAAGTCTTTTCATATATACACTCAACTAGATCAACTGGAGTAAGGAAGCACTCTGCACACTACCCTATTTGGGCTTGTTACTACAATTTTGTGTTCATGATATAAGATCCTAATTCTCTGGTTAGAAAAATCATTTAATGAGAGCATTCTGGAAAACTTTAGTGGCTACTGATTGAGTGGGTAGAACCAACTCTTATTAAACATTTGATACCAAGATTTCCAACTGACAAGTAATTCTATGACATATTCCTAACTAATTCCTCCAAGAATTCATAAGAAATCCTTCATCTTTAACAAACTCCATAGCTATTTGGCACTGCAACTAAGTTTTGAACGTTGAATTCCTTCTCATATTTCTGTATGACAATTAAGGTAAAGGGACATCTGGCATTCTTATCCACAAAAATCCATCATCAACACCCTGTCATGGACATAGTTTGAACTAATTTACTGGAAGTCTAGAGTAAAAGAATGTTTCAATGTTTCCTAATTCATGAAAATGGTCAACACAAATGTTCTTGTTCTGTAGACATAAATACCTTCATAATGCAACAGCACTCGATTGTCACTTAAAGAAACTAATTGGTAAAATCCATAATCTCATTCTTACAAATAAGTGTTTACATGTAATCTTGTGAGAGTAATTTTTATGAAGAAGGACATGAAAGACAGGGTAATCCTGTTTTACTTGATAAATTTTTATATGGTATTCACTATCCATCAATTGGAATCCTGGATTACACACCTATCTTTTATGAGATTGAACTAAGTCCTTATAAAGGCTGATGAACGTAGACTAACAGGTAAAAGTTTGGTTCCGAACCTGCAGCGTTCAGAGCATTATGAAACTCTGTAAGCCCATAACGCCAGAGTAGTCATTTCTAGGTAACCAATGACACTATTTGCTTTTAAGAACCCAAAGATGTAACATTCCTTGTGGTGAAAAAGCATGTATAATGAACCAGTATCCATTCTGGATAAGGAATACAACTTACACTCTCAAATAAATGTACTATTAAATCCCAAAGAAGAGTTTAGATTTTAACCAAAGAGATTCAGAATTCCACACCATGTCATCACTTGACTTTATTCACACTTCAAAAGGTACTGTAAATATTACTAGGGACTCCATGTGACATTTCTACAACCATGACCATTGCAACACTACTCACAGTATACCAAAGGTAGAAATCATGGAAATGTCCATCAACTGATGAAAGGATATAAAAAATCCACTGTAAACAAAATATTGTTTTCTAATGTAACACAATTAGAATTTTAAAATGTAATCTGACTACTTAAACAATTTTATGAGTTCAGTCCATTCCTTCTATAAGGGTTAGCAGATTTGCACTGGTAGTAGCAAGTAGTATCTGTATAAATACAGAAAATATACTTATCAATGAGACTTGTCTGATTAGGCAAAGTATTTTCCCAATCTCCTAGCAGAGATACAGAAACACCTTCTCAGTGTGACAGAGGTTAAGAGACTGACTTACTGAACTTGGTCTTATCAGATTTTTCTGCAGCTCTTCAATACTGCCAGCATGCAGTTTGACGATATCTTTCATTTCCAAAATTTCAGACTGAAGCCTACAATGTACATGGAAAATATTTTCACCCATCAATCTAAGCATACACATAATTTCTGACTAAGCATCAGAAGGCAATATTGTGTAAATTCTTAAAATTGGAAAAGTATGGCCTGTTTCTTGTTGTCCATGGCTACTGTGCTTTATAAGGACTCAAGCTAGTTTGCATAGTACCTTGAATTGTAGTGTTCTAGATAATCTTGTGTCTTCTTTACATTTTCTACCACTCCTTGGTGTAGATTTTCTGATACCTGGAACTAAAACAAAGGATTAAAAAAAAGTTACCAGCACCTGGTACAAACTGCTCACTACCTGGTTTTGCCATTAAAATTTTACTGGAAATCACAACACTTCTTCATTTGCATATTGTTCATGGCAACATTCATGCTGTAACTGCAAAGTTGACTTGCCAACAGACATCACTTGGTCCAATATCTAAAATAATATGATCTGGTCAAGAATTGTTCTTACTCATTTCATATTTTGATACATTTTTGACATTTCAAAAAGGTGGCATGAAATGAAAGTGGTCTTTTATACAAATTACACTTAACCCTTGCTTTCACAATTTAAAAGCACTTGGGCCATCTTCTGCTATTTTCCCAATGGGAAAGATGAAGGCCAGACTACTTCCCCAGTAATGCATAAAATTGTCAGTGCTTTCAATAGTCACCAGTGTTTTTTCACCTTATGATTTACTGATCACTTACTCTCTGCACTACTTCCTGGGTAATGATAATGTAAACAGGATTCCTAGATTGAGTAGCACATACTTTGTAGACCATAAGACACAGACTCAAAGCACAGACCTGAAAATATTGGAATCAGTGGCTAAATGAAGTTTCCAAAATCAATTCATTCTTATGCTGCCTTACAAGCACTCTGTAGATAGCATAACAGTATACATTTGGATCTATTAGTGAATCTGTAGCCAGCAGAAAAAAGAGCTATGAAACAATAAATCCCAGTTCTGGCTAGTTCATGAAAGAAAATAGTTAATTTTTTTTTTCTTACTGAGTATAGACTGAGTTTTTGATAGATAAGTTCTCCTCTACAGCAATCAAGTGTTTTGATTTTATAATTTGTTTCTTAAAGGACAACTTTAAAAACTTTAAAAGCTTCACCTTAAAGCTTTATTCATAATGCTTATGTCAATGCCTCAAAGAAGAAAATTCAGCAGGTCAGCGTTTTGGCACAGTGGGCTAAGCTGCCTCTGTGATGCTGGCATTCCAGCCCTTGCTGGTCCTCTTCTGACCCAGCTCACTGCTAACTGACAGGGAAAACAGCAGAGTATGGCCCAAGTGTTTAGGTCTATGCCACCCACGTAGAGACCTGCATACATAGAGTTCCATGCTCCTTGCTTTGACCTGGCCAGCCCCAACAAATGTGGAAAGTTGGTGATTAGAACAACAGATGGAGGAAATCTCTTTTTCTTTCAGCTTCTCCCTCTATCTGATTTTTCCTTTCAAATACATAAATACATGTTCAAAAAGAATAAATTTCTGAAATGATATAAATTGTTTATACTTTTAGTCTAACAATTGATAAGCTAAAATATGTTCAATCAACACAAAGATAGGTGGCATCCATGTCAGATAAAATCCCCTGAGGAAAATTTATATTCAGACAAGATTATTTCCCATGAATAAAAATAAAAGCAGTTTAAAAGTAAGGTCTATGCTGTTCCATAAAAACTAGATGACAAATATTGAAAAGTGTAAGGTCAAAATGTGACAGAAGGAAAAGCTTATTGACAAAAGGGAAATTTGGGGCTGGGTCTGGATAAATATGTTTAGGTGAACAGAAACAAAGACAGGACAGCATAAAGAATGGTGGAGAAATGAGAAAACAGGCCCAATTAACTCCAAGTTTGATTAAATCCAATGAAATGATTGAATGTGTCCATACAATAACTTGGAAATGAATGTCCATGGCAGCATGCAGTGGAAACATTCTACATGTCCATGCATTGATGAGCAGATAATTTGTACAGCAGACTTATACTCTGTTAGATAATAAAATGTTATTTAATAATAAAAAGAAGTATTGATAAATGTTATGCCATGGATGGATCCTGAAATTAGTATACTAAGTGAAAAAAGCCAGTCATAAAGGGCGACATGCTGTAGGACTCTATGTATATGAAATGTTCATAGCAGGCAAATCATTGGAGAAAAAACACTTCCTTTTTGTAGGAAAAAGGAAGAAAAAAGGACTGAAGGAGTGATGCATAAGTGACACAGAGTTTCACTTTATGGTGACTGAAATATTTAAAAACTGATTATGGTGATGGATATCCCACTTTGGGAACCTATTATGGATATTGAATTTTATTAATCTGAATGTTTGAAGTCTACATAGGTGAAATATATGAGCAGTCATAAAAATATTTGTGCAAAAAGTAGGCTTAAGAGATGTCAGTTTAAAGGTAAAATGTGTGAATTCAATTCATACCTTATACATGCTGCACGTATCCCAAGAAGTTTGTGAAGCACCACTATATCACAATAAATCAGTTTTTAAAACTCCAATGGCAGGATATTAATAATTTTCTTAATTTTAAATTTTGGAAGTATAGACTACACAGGATATGAATATTCCATGCATAAAAACAGACACTTATTATGTGTATAGATAACATACATTATACACACTTATAATGTGTATAAATAACATATATGTGAATGATAAACACGGTTTTCAATTAGACTGCAAAATATTTTAAAATGTGCATTTCAGCATAGTATAAAGTATTTTGAGAATTTATTCTGAAATACACAGGATCAATAAACATAGGTTCTGTATCCATTCACATAAGTGAAACAAGAAATGTATTTTTTGAGAATTCTGCAAGATTTTATCCTCTGATTCAATCTGCCTTGTTTTATCATGACAACTGATACCACTGAAAATATTGAGAAAAATGTGCATTTTCTGTGAAAAATGATATATATTCCTCAAGTTTTTAACAGTGAATATTATTTTAATAAAGAATATAACAATACATAGAGTGGATATCAGAGTTTAAGAAGTAAGTGCATAATGATAAAATTGTGCCAGGATTTTCATATTCAAATAAAGCAGGGTCTTATGATATTTGTATCTGGAAACTCTTAGCTCTAGAATTCTTATTGACATGCTAAATATCATACATACTTTTCTGATGATTTCATCTAACTTGTTCATTATATCCTGCATCTTGCTGTTTAACTTAAGGTAAAACTGTGCCATCTCTCTCAGTGATGCCTCCGATTTACATTGCCTTTTCTCAATGTCATCCTGTTGCTGCTGCAGGTGTTTCATATCTACCTGATAAGATATGCGTGTTACCATTTTATAAGTCACTTTATTGTTAAATAATGGTTATATTTCATTCAAAGATACATACAACTGGTCTGATTTTTGTGATGGCTTCACTTAGGATTTTTCAGCTTTAGGATGGCAATTAAGTGATAAACATTCCATAGGACACATACTTTGAATTTTGACCTTTTCCTGAGCAAGCAATATGCCACACTATTTTCTCTCAGGATGCTAGCCAGCAGTAGTTTTTTGTAGCTCCCAGTCAACCACACAAACACAAGGACAAATGAAGAACACTCTAGAGTGTAACGTGCCACTAAGCTAGCATATTGAGGAAGTCCAGTGTGTTACACACTTTATTGACTTGCATTTTCAATTTAGCAATGGGATTACCAAGGAATCACCATATCAAATGACAAGCAGCATCTGTACTTTAGGTACTATCACCACATACATCACTTCACCTTCTTTTCCTCAATTGTACACATTTTTATTAATTATTGAAATCAGGTAAGACAGAAGGTGTTATCTCCCTGCACAATCAGTAATGTATTAGCCAACAGACTCAGTTCTCTATCTCCGTCCTGATAAATCTGCAACACTTAACAACCTACTGAAGTATCACAGAGCAATGCGTATCTTGTATCTAGAGCTGGTATAATTCTACAGTGTTGAACTATTTTCCTCTTTTTAGTAACATCAGAATTCCTCACACAGTCAATTCTTCGCTCAAATCCTTTGAACAGATTTCTTTTTTTGAAAAAGTAATTCCCAATAGCTTCTTAGGCCCTATGCAAATATTGCTTCTAGCTTCCTCCTGACCTCAGCACCTACAACTCTCTCCTTTGCTCTCACGACTGTGAATCATGAACTCTGCCAGCTTGCATGTCTCTGAAAACAGGAATCCAATGCCAAATTAACAATCCACAGACAGCTACAATTATCTTTGTACTGGAGAAATTATACCCATTGATAGGAACTCATCCTTGAAATAAAAATAAAAAGCAAACTATTTGTAAAAATGTTCAAACTACATCATAAATGCCAATGACAGAATTAAATCCAATGCAGATTTGGTAAAATTCCCCAAATTAAATCTGTAGATTGCTTAAGGCTGTATAACCATTTCAATGATATTAATTCTTCCATCTTTGCATTTTCTTGTGTCCTTGATAACTTCTTTCATTAGCATTCTGTAATTTTCATGTTAATTAACTATTTTGGTTAAATTTACTCCTACTATTTGAGGTTGGTTATTGTACGTGGGATTTCTTTCTTGACTTATCTTTCAGTGAGTTCTAGTACTGGCATGTAAAAAAGCTAGTTTTATGTATCTTGATTTTGGTATCTTCAACTTTACTGAGTTGTTTGATCAGTTCTAACAGCTTTTTGGTGGATTGTTTAGGTTTTCCCATGTACAAGTCATTTGGAAATATGGATATTTTGACTTATTCCTTTCTAATTATGATGTCCTTTCTCCTAATTGCTCTTGCTAATTTTTCCAACACTATATTGAATAAGAGTGAAAGTACTCAAACTTGTCTTGTTCTAGATATGATGGGAAAAGTTTTCAACTTCTCCCCATTCAGTATGATATACTGAGAGTTGATTTATCATATATAGCTTTAATATTTTTAGGTATGGTTGCATCTATAGCTAGCTTACATTTTTATGTAAGGATGCTGAATCTTATCAAATGCTTTCGCTGTGATGACTAAATGGTTTTTGTTCATTCTGGTGATATTATTTGTTTATTGACTTGTGAATGCTGAACCACTCGTTCATTTCTAGGAAAAATCCCACTTGATTTGTGACATACAATCTTCTTGATGTAGTGTTGGATTCACTTTGCTAGTATGTTGTCGAGAATTTTTGCATTTATATTCATCAAGGATAATAGGTCTGTAGTAGTCTTTTCATGTTGTGTCTCTGTTCAGTTTTGGAATCAGTATGATGCTGATCTCAAAAAGGGTTTGGCAACTCCATCCTGTTCAATATTTTGGAATAGTTTGAAAAGTACTGGAGTTAGTCTCACTTTAAATGTATTGCAGAATTCAATAGTAAATCTATCAGGTTTTGTACTTTTCCTTGATAGCAGACTTTTGGTTATTCTTTCAATTTCACTGCTTCTTATGGATCTCTTTAGGCTTTCTGTATCTGGGAATTAACCCATTTCTTTGAGGTATTCCAATTTGTTAGCATAAAGTTGCTCATAGAGGGAGAGATCTTCCATTTTCTGCTTCACTCCAAAAATGGTTCCCCAAAGTCAACACAGGACCAGGTGGAGGCCAGGAGCCAGGAACTCTACCCAAGTCTCACATATGGGTGACAGTGGCCCATTAAACTGGGCCACCTTCCACTGCTTTCCCAAGTGCGTTAGCAAGAACCTGGATTGGAAGTAGAGCAGTTAGGATTGATACTGCTATTCATGGGGTGCCAACATTGCAGGCCACACATTAACTTGCTGTGTCACAACACCAGCCCCAGAGTAGTTTCTTATGAGCCTTTGTATTTCAATGGTGTCACCTTTAACATCTACTTTTTCACCTCTAATGTTATTTACTTGAGTTTTTTTTTTTTTTGTAATTTGGTAGTTTGGCTAAAGATGTGTCTACTCAAAAAAAACACACACCTTTTTGTTAATAGTTAATATTGTTTTTTTGCTTCAACTTCAATTATTTCTGCTCTGATTCTTATTTATTGCCTCCTGCTAATGTCTGGTTTGTTCTTGATATTCTAAATTTTTAAGATGCATACTTAGAACACGTTTTGAGACCTTTTTAAAAAAATATGGACATTTAATGCTATAGATTTCCCTCCTAACACTGCTTTTCCCTTGTGCAAATGGAAGGGGGCAATGTGCCTTCCCTTTTCAGAGCAACTTAGTCACTCAGATCCCAGTCAGATCCCTGGACTGGACTTGAAGTCAGTGGAGACTGTGAAATTCTCCCATAGCTAGGGCTGCTCACAGTGGGAGCCACAGCATCTTCTTCCTATCTTATCCCAGCAAGACAGTGTTTCCCAACCAGAAGTCAGTCACACAGATACAAGGGATGTCCGGCGGCAGTCACTGATGACAGTGGTGTATCTGTTCTCTCCCCTAACTGCCTCAAGGAGTCTGTGTTCTGCCACTTCTCCACAGGAATTTCATTGCCCTGAGAATGACATGCTCCTTTGTTCTAGTTACTGTGACTGACATTAGTGAGGCTACTCATTACTCAGTCATCTTGGATGCACACTTGATTTTCTTTTTTAATGCAAAGCTTTCACAAAGTCAAGTCATGGATTTCTCTGCTTTCTTTTGAATAAGTTCCTCTTCCACAGATACGACCTTTTGAGCTTCCTTCTGAGTCTCCTGAAGTTCTGTTCAGATGTACACTCAAGTAGGTCAATTGGAGCCAACCAGACTCTGCCTCTGTCCCAGTTCAGATCCACTGCTCCACAGCTGTGTCAACGAAATATCTCAACTTGGGTATTCTCTGGTAGAGGGACTCATGGGATGAGAACTTTCTGGAAAACTTACATTCCAATGAGTTGAATGAAAACTGTTTCTTATTAAACTTTTGATTTACAGGGTAGATTTCAAAGTACCTAATAATTCAATGACATTTTCTAACATTTATACAGGAATGTACAGGAAACCTCTCTTTATTTTGAAGCAGCTCAACAGCTATTAGGTACTACAACCAATTTTTGAATGTCTAATTGCTTAACATATTTCTGTATGACAATTTTATAAAGGGATGTCTTGTGGCATTTTAAAAAGTCCCATAGGAGCTGGCACTGTGGCAGAGAAGGTTAAGCCTCCATCTGCAGTACTGACATCCCATATAGGTGCTGGTTCAGGACCAAGGGGCTTCACTTCCAATCCAGCTTCCTGTTAATGCACCTAGGAAAGCAGCAGAAGATGGATCAAGTACTCGGACCCCTATATCCACATGGGAGATATGGAAGAAGCTCCTGGTTCCTGGCCCAACCCTGGCCATTGTACCTATTTGGGGAGTAAACCAATGGATGGTAGAGTTCTCTCTCTCTCTCTCTCTCTCTCTCTCTCTCTCCCCTTCTCTTTCTGTATTTCTGATTTTCAAATAAATAAAATCTTAAAAAAGAAAAAGTCCCCTTACCAATATGCTTTCATTTCACATGTATGGAACTAAGTTCTTACAGGTCTAGAGAAAAACAATCCTTCAATTTTCCTAAGACATCAGAGAGATCAAACACCACAAATGTTCTAAACCAAACAAGCATGTGAATCTGTATAATGCAACTGCACTCTAGCTATTGTGCCTGAAGGCAATTAATTAGTAGAAACAACTACTTCATTGTTCCATATTAGTGCTTCATACAATCTTGTGACCTTATATCCTATTAAAGGAAAACATGAAGGATAAGGGAATCCTGTTTTTGTTATAAATAGTTGTAAAGCATTCACTATTCATCAACAAATTAGGATCCTAGACTACACAGCCATCTTTTCTGAGACTGACCTAAGTCAAAATAAAGGCTGATATATATAGGTTAATGGGGAAAAAGTTGATTGCTTAATCTGCAGTGCTCAGGGCATTAGGTAACTTTACAAGGCCCGGCAAGAATAGTCATTGCTATGTATTCCATATTTCTTTCATTTTAAAATACAAAGAGAAACACATATTTCTTGGGGTTAAAAAGTCCACTCAAAGACCTACTATCCTTTCTTGTTAAGAAATACAGTTTATGAGGTTAATGTTGTCACATAGTGGGTTAAGCTGATGCCTACACTGCTGGATCCCTTATGGGTACCAGTTTGAGTCCCATCCACCCCTCTTATGATCCAGATCCCTGATAAGGCTTCTGGGAAAGCAGAGGAGGATGGCATGAGAGCTTGGGCACGTGAACCCATGTGGGAGACCTGGATAAAGCTCCTGGTTCTTGGTTAGAGGCTTCAGCCTGGTCCAGCCCTAGTTGTTGTATTCTTTTGGGGAATGAATCAACAGATGAAGCTCGCTTGCTTGCTTGCTTGCTCGCTCTCTCTCTCTCCCCCCTCCCACCCTTTGTGTGTGCGTGTGTGTGTGTGTGTGTGTGTATCTCTGCCTTTCAAATAAATCTTTTAATAAAAGAAATATAACTTGGGGCTGCGCTGTGGTGCAACAGGTTAACACCCTTGCCTGAAGCGCTGGCATTCCATATGGGTACTGGTTCAAGACCCGGCTGCTCCTCTTCTGATCCAGCTCTCTGCTATGGCCTGGGAAAGCAGCAGAAGATGGACCAAGTCCTTGGGCCCCTGCACCTATGTGGAAGACCCGAAAGAAGCTCCTGGCTCCTAGCTTCAGATTGGCACAGCCCCAGCCTTTGCGGCCATATGGGGAGTGAACCACCAGATGGAAGACCTCTCCACTCTCAGTGTAACTCTGACTTGCAAATAAATAAATAAATCTTTAAAAAAAGAAATATAACTTATAACATCACAATAACTTAGTCTTAAAATCTTACTGAATGCTTTAGATTATGAAAAATTCAGAATTCGCTGCTCTCATTTCTTGGCATTTCAAAACATATTAACAATTAGCAGGGACTCCAACAGATAGTTATTATCAATTCCCATAGTAGCCTTATACATAATAAACAAAAGGTGAATGATTGACTTACTGAACTTAGTCTGAAAAGGATTTCCTGAAGATTTTTAATTTCCCTTGCTTGCTTTAGTATTGTATCTTTCAACTCATGATTTTCCTGATCATGCCTAAAATACATATTTTAAATTAATGATTCTCACAGATCAATTTAAGAAAATATATTTCAGAATAAACATCTGAAAGTGTTATTATGCAAATTCTAGAAATTTGAAGTCAATTTCTTGGCAAATATATCATTATTCTATCTTGCTTTGTCAATAATGCACAAAATTTAGGGATAATGTGCAAAAGCTATGCATTTAAAAATAGTTTAATACTAAAAGTTTTCCATGCTTTACTCAGAAGTATTTATGTTTAAAATGATATAATTCTCATAGTACATAGCATATATGCTTTAGAAAGACTCAAGTTATTTTGAATGGTTGTTTGAATTGTACTTTTCCAGATGATCTTGAATTTTCTCAGTGTTTTGTACCAACTCCTTTTGTTCATCTTCTGATTCTTGGAACTACAACAAAGAATAATAAAAAAAAACATGAAATTTACCAGTATCTGGTATGAATCTGGGAAGTACCTAGATTTATGACTAAAATTTCATTAGAACATAGCAATGACTCTTCCTTTTCATCTTATTCATGACTACATTTATGCTATAACTTCAAAGCTGAGTTGTGCCAACAGGGATGCTATGACCTCAAATCTAAAACAGAACTGTCTGGGCCATTACAGAAAGTTTATAGTCATCTGCTCAAGAAAATGACACAGGAGTAGACTTGGTTTTGAGTATGTTCTATCAGAAAAATTCTCAGATTTACAATATTGGCCAGTTAAAGGAATGGGAGATTACCTTATGGAAAATAGCTATAATTTTGAAATCCAAGTACAATGAAATCAACTATAATTTTAGATATTCATATGTGCAAATGACCATTGGTATCCCAGAGATCATAAAAATTAACATAATGTTATAGACAACAAATGTTTAATGGAATTTTTCAGTGGCCACACCAATAATGAAACCAGAGTGCCTGGATTCTGGCTCCACTATCTGTGTGATCTTCAGCAATTCATTTGCCCTGTGTTAGTTCTTCACCTGTAAAATGGAAATAATAGTGTCTACTTCACTTGAAAGTAGGAGGTATTAAATGAAAGGTATATGTAAAGAACTTCAAAGAAGATGTGTCACATAGTCAGGGAAATATTTCAATAGCATTATTATTATTGAATTCATGTTTGAATAAAATGACATATTTGGGAAGGGGAGCGTAGCAATAGAAGTGATCTCTTATAAAGTGATACCGAATCCTTCATACCAAAGTGGCAGCAAACTAGGAGCATGAGGCCCAGAATACATTGCCAGCTCATTATAAAGCTTTCATTAATTTTATTAGCCAACCATCCTTTATGCAACTTATAATTTATAAATTATTTTTCTGTAAACTCAGTGGGCAATAATAATGAAATACAATACAAACAGGACTCTGAATTTGAGTAGCACATATCTTACATAGCCATAAAAATTGGCCTAAATGTACTAATGAAAAGACCAGACTCTATAGCTAAATCAAATTTCCCAAATCACTCTTCATTCTCAGGTTGCTCTAGCAAGCAATCTGAGGATAGAGTGATGCTCCATGGTTTGGTGTGTAAGAAAATGTATGGCATTTCCACTGGTAAAGAGCTGTAAAGCTACGAGTCCCAGCTCTGGCTATATAATAAAGGGAAGCAAACTTCAGATTTTATATTCTCCCAGTGAGTAAAGCATTAGCATTTTATAGAACAATTCTCCAGAAATAGGATTAAGTATTTGAATATTGTACTTAATTGCCTAAAATGTGTTTAGAAGAAAAGCTTCATTCATTCATTCATTCATTCACTCATAATGTTCCTGTCAGTGTCTCAAGGAACACAGATGGCATGGCATAAAGTACTTAATTTTAACTTAACTGTCCAACTATAACATTTTCAATCTACACATTTATATCACATATGTCCACTTAGGCAAATTTATAGCACAACTGTCACCTTAGACAAATTATCTATTATGCAGATAAGTAAAAGCAATATAAACTTAAAGGCCACGTTATTCTCCATAAACTAGATGACAAGTACTGAAAAGAGAAAAATCGATGAGAGAACACAGAACATCCCATCAGTGAAAGGACCTCTGGAGTAGGGTCTGAATACAATGAGTACAGATCAACAGAAACTAAAATAACAGTGTGAAAAAGGAGGAGAGAGGGGGAAAACTGGCCAGAGACACTCACTTTGCTGACGTTCACAGGCAGAGAAGTAAAAAGCATATTCCATACATTAACTTGGAAATGAATGCTCATAGCAATAGCGTTAATAATAGTCAAAAAATGGAAACAGTGTTCTATCAACTGATGAAATGTTTATCAACTGATGAATGAATAATTCCTACAAAGAACTGTATTCTGCACAGTACAATATTATTTTAAAAATAATAAGAAGTATTGATAGATTCTATACCATGGATTGACCTTGGAAATGTTACGTTAAGTGAAAGAAATCAGTCATAAAGGGCTGCATATTGTAGGGATGACCTTATTTAAATGAAATATCCACATCAGGCAAATAATGAGACACTAAACGTACATGTTTGGTTGCCTAAGGACTAGGGAAGATATAGGAGCTAAAGGCAGGATGGGTGAGTGAGACAAGGTTTTCTCTCAGGATGTTAAAAGCTGTTCTAAAATTGATTGTGGTGCTGGTTATCCAACTCTGGGAATATACTATGGACGTTGAGCTACACTTATTTGGATGGGTGAACTCTATGGTGTTACATGAAATATACAGATAAGAGTGTTTAAGACAGCATTTTTAAAAGTTTGTGGAAGGGAGTAGGCACAGTGGGTTAATGCCCTGGCCTGAAGTGTTGGTATCCCATATGGGCGCCGGTTCCAGACCCGGCTAGCTCCACTTCCTGTGCAGCTCTCTGCTGTTGCCTGGGAAAGCAGTAGAGGAAGGCCCAAGTCCTTGGGTCCCTGCACCCATGTGGGAGACCTGGAGGAAGTTCATAGCTCCTGGCTTCAGATCAGTGCAGCTCCAGCTGTTGCAGCCAATTGGGGAGTGAACCATTGGATAGACTACCTCTCTCTCTCTCTCTCCCTCTCCCTCTCCCTGTCCCTTTCTCTCCTCTCTGTGTAACTCTGACTTTCAAGTAAAATACAATAAATCTTTAAGAGTTTGTGGGAAATGATCTTAAAGATAAGTCAATTTTGGTGCAGAAAGTTTTGAAGTTGAATGGCAATATGTAGATGATAATGTCTCTCTGCTTTCAGGAGGACTAGTGCAAAATCTGCAACATCCTCAAATATAAATACTATCTTTAGAAAGAATTTAAGTATAAGAAAAATGGCAGAATAAGATGGTGTAAGAAGTCATCATATTGACAAAATTGTCTTAATTATAATAAAATATTTTTTTAAAAAATTACATTCACTGTGATTTTTATTCTAGTGCACATTGTTTAACCGGTATAGGTTAATTTTCATATATACTTGTCTTTGGGTTTCCCTTAATATCTTCTTTATATTCTTTATTTCATCTGCTGACTTAAAGCAGTAACTTCTTACAGCCTCCTGTCACTGCTCTGATACAGGATGTGCTTTTTGTTATCAGTCCATTGATGAAGGTGGCTCACCACTTCTTGAGAAGACATTTATATTACTATTTTATAAATCATTTTATGATCAAATTGTCTTAATATTTACTTCTAAGTTACATACAAATGGTCACTCACAGACTTGTGATTGTTTCACTTCAATTTTTCAGACTCATGATGGCATAAAAGTGATACATATTCCATAGACAACATACTTCAGAACTTAAGCTAGTAATTCCTACAGTGTTGAACAATTTCCCTCATTTGCATTATAGACCAAAATAAAAATCAGAGATCCTCTCACTTTCAATCCTCTACTTAAATCCTTCCAAGAGATTCCTATCTCAGAACAGCACTAAAATTTCAATGACATTCAAGGCCTAGCTAGCCTCACCTCCACCTTCTTTCCTGATCTCAGCTCCTATAACCCTCTTGCCTATTCTCCCCACAACTGCTTTTCATGAAATTGGCTAGCTCTCATGAAACTGAAAATGGGAATCTATTGTAACCAGACAGTTACAATTATATTTGTAGTGGACCCTGAAATGAAAATAATAACCAAATTCTTTGCTAAAATGCTTAAATTAAGAAAATCATAAATACCTGAGAGAAAATTAATTCAAATATAATCAGTAAAATTCACCATATTTGTATCAAATCTGAACTTAATATAAAGGAGCTGCTGTTAAAGAATTAAGTCATAAGAATACATAAATTGAGAGTGAAATAGTTTTACATTTAAATAGAACTGGTATGAATTCAAATAGTACCAACTAGAATACAGAAAAATCTACAGAGGAAAAGTATTATGAGATATCTTATCACTCATCATCAAATTCTAAAATGAACTTTCAAGGTAATCCACTTAATAGAACGTCAATTTCAAAATACTCCCTTTAAGCATGAATAATTCCCTTGACTTCATCATGGTCTTAAAATCTGTAATTAGTATAGACAAATATTTTTTGGAGATGACTCTAAGAGCAACAAGGAAAGTAGACAAATTGGATTATATCAAATACAGAAACATCTACACTACCAAGGAGGCAATCAATCAACAGAATGAAAAACATCCTACAGAATGGAAGAAAATATTTGGAAGCTACTTACCCAACAAAATATTAATATCCATAATATAAAAAATTCAATAACAAGAACAGCAACAAAACAACCCAGTTAAAAGATGAGTGAAGTAACTGAATGCAGTTCTTCAAGGAAGAAACACAAAGAGTCAATAATTAATATCACCAGCCATCAGAGAATTGAAAATCAAAGCTACAATGAACATCACACCTGTTAGAATGGCTAATATCAAAAATGTAGAAGGTGATAAATTCTGATGAGGATGTTCTTGGGAATGTAAATTAGTAGCACCACTATGGAAAACAGTATGGAGATGTCTTTAAAAACTAGAAAAAGACTTGCCATATTATCTGTCAATACCATTCCTGGGTATATGTCCAGAGACATGAATACCAGAGAGACACCTGCTGGCCCAGGGGCTGAGTCCAGGTTGACGCCGGCTGCGAAGGTGGCACCATGGGCATGGGTAGAGGAGCAAGTTGGCCAACACTCCCATCGGGAGTGGTGAGAGAGATGCTCCAGGGTAGGGGGTTAGGAGTGGCGGGCAGGTAGGAGGAAGGGAGTGGCGGGAAGCTGTTGGGCTGCAGCACTTTTAAAAAATTTTTGGGTGTCCTAATGGTGACCCCTCAGCGCAGATGTCCCTGATCCCTGGAGCAACAAGGGCCACCACCTGACCTGGAAAGAGAAATGCCAGCTCCTGGGCAGGCCTCATTGGAGGAGGAAAGGCAACCACAGACCCTCCAAGAAGCTGCTTCATTATCCAGGCATGGAACCCAAGACCACAGCCATTACTATTC